TCCATATTCAGAGACTGTTCCAGCTCTGCCAGAGCCCGGTTGCTCCCATAATAACCGGTCCTGAGTCCTCTGACCACTGTCTTTAATCTGAGCCCTGCCTCATGCTGGGGGCTGGAGGCCCTGGGCCAGATCACTCTTGCTGCTTGGCCTCAGTTTTCCTTTCTGCAAAGTGGGGCTCAGGCTGGGTCCACTCCAAAGGTTGAGGATGTGTGCTCTACACTAGCAGCCTTTGAGGAAGTGGGGCAGAATTGGGAGCACATATCCAGGGCTCCAACCAGAAGGGAAACCGAGGCCCAGGGTGTAAGAGACCGGTACATCCTGGCTCTACCCTGAGGCTGCGTTTTAAAGCTAATTGGGGCCTCCTGCCCTCTGTTGTGTCCTGATGTGCCCCCAAAAGAGGGGCTTAGGGGAGGGGGAGGGAGAAAGGACCCTCCTGCTGCAGATTCAAGTGGGGACCCCAGGCTCCCCAGCCCTGAGTTTTGGGCCCCCATTAGGAGCAGACAGAAGTTAAAGCTATAGGCTGAAGCTGGAGGGGTCAGCTAGACCCCTCCCTCCCCAACCAGGAGAGCCGTGGGGGTGAGGGAGGGTCTGTCCAGATGTGAGCAGGACAAGGACCCTAGGACCACGCGGGGCTGCAGCATGTGCACCAGGGATGCACACCTGGGTGGTGGAGGTGGAGAGGATGGAAGGGACCCCAGGGGCTGGGGGCTGCTTAGGGAGGGCACCCCCCACCCCCAGCTGGCCTGCCCCAGCCCTTCCAGCATGCCCTCCGTCCCCACCCCCACCCTGACCCCAGGATTTTGCCCACGGCCGAGACCTGGCCCCTACTCCGCAGTGGTGGTGGCAGCGGCAGTGGAAGTGGTGGTGGCGGCAGCAGCAGGAACTTCTGGGGTGGCACTTGCAATGTCTCCATCTTCTTGCAGCAGGAAGTTGTATTTGCCAAAGTCATCATCCCTTGGGCACAGAAGCATGTCCTTGCGGGCCTTGGCCAGCTTCTGCTTCAGCACCTCACGCCGATCCAGCCACTCATTGAGCTCCTCCTGGCCGTGGGCGCAGCGGCACTTGTCCCCATCCGGGCAGGCCTTGCCCTTCTGCAGCCTGTGGGCGGTGGGAGGCTCACTGCCTGCACGCTGTGTTGTGGGACCCAGATGCCCACAGGGCCTCCCTGTCACAAGCCTCGCCCAGACAGGATTCCCTGGCTTTCTCTGGGACCTGACCAAAGGAGGGGCTGCAAAGGAGGGGTCCTGGCAGGTCTGAGCCCACCCTCAATCCTGCTCTGCGTGCCACCTGCACCCTGACCTCCCCTGGCACCTGTCACAAAGCCGGAACTCGCCCATGGGGAAGCGGTAGGCCCAGCCACTGGCGTCGCTGTCAGAGGTGAAGACCTTCTCCTTGTGCTTCTCAGACTGGATGTGCTGCTGCCACTGCTTCTTGCTGTTGCTGTTCTTTCCACAGAGCCAGCAGTGGTAGCCCATCTAAGGACACAGCATCGTGGGTACCAGCCCATTCAGGCCACCCTCTGGGCCCCTCAGGCTCCGTCTCGGTCCAGCTGCCCGGTGCAGGGACTTACCATGATGTCGGCATAGTCTGTGGGCATCTGGATCTGCTTTTCCCCTTCCCGTGAGCTGATCGGGGTCCCTTCCCCAGGTTTCCCTGGGTTGTGTTTCTTCAGCCACATGTCGTACGTCTGCTGCATGTCCAGGACTGCACAGGGGCAGAGTGCCTGATAAGAAGGCTCCCCTCTATCCTGCCCCAATTCCTGTTGGACTTGGGAGCCACGGGCCCCCAGGCCTGGGCGGGGCTGGGGTGGGGAAGGGATGGGGGGGCGGAGGGGTGTCCAGCAGTGAGGAGCGGGGACGAGCCTGTTACTCACTTTTGTTCTCCTTCATGAATGTCCACATGTCCCTCTCCTCAGGGCTGTGTGCAAAGGAACAGTTCCCCACATACTGGCACTTGCGGCCGTTCTGCGCATGAATGCAGAGCTGGGGGGCGGGTGTGGAGAACCACTGAGTCCCGGGGGCCCGGGTGTGGGGAGCCCTGTACCATCCCCTGCCATCTCCACCTCCAGCGCTCACATCGTATTGCTGTGGGAAGTTGCGGATGGATGGTAGCGGCCTCACCGACACCCATTTCCTCTTGGCCTTGGACATCACCAGAAGGACCCGCCGCTCCTTGGTCCAGCTGCAGGAGAGATGGGAGCTGCTTGAGGAGAGCCTGGGCCTGAGTCTTGGCCTCCTTCCCTGTGGTACTCAGGTGGCTGCCACTGTGGCCAAGCCCCTGCCCGGCACCCACGCACCAGTGACGGGCTTTGGCACTGCAGTACTTGAGGTCCTTGTCAGGTTCCACCACCTGCCCATTCCTCCAGCACTGGCCACACACGAACTTCATCTGCAGGTCGAAGGTGCTGGGCCCATGAGTCCTTGGTGCACCCTGTGAGGGACAGTGAAGGGGTTGGAGAAGCCCCAGGTCCAAAGCCCCTGAGTCTTTCACACACAGGCAGCCTTGGGAATGTGGGGGCCACCCAGCCCAGAGCAGGCCGGTCTACTTCCTGATTCTACCCAAAAGCAGTGGCTTTCCAATGGCCTGGAGCTGGGTCTGACTGAACACTTTTCCTCCTTTCCTGGCTGCTCCCTGCCTGCCCTGCCTCCTGCAGGGGCCTGCTCCATAAAATGCAGCCTCTTCCAGGGCCCAGCATGCCACGGCATAGCCACCCTGCTCTACACATGCTGTTCCCTCTGCCTGGAATGCTTTCTCCCCACTCTTTACCCAGCTTGTCCTAGAAACTGCGTTCTCAAGCTCAGCTCCAGTGCTTGTCCTGCAGGAGCCCGCCCAGAACCATGTCTCCACTGTCCCTTCTGCAACTCCGGGAGTCAGGAGCTCCCTGGTGCTGATCGGCTCCCTGGGTTATGAGTGCAGCTCTGGTAGACTGCAGGTGTCCACAAACCTGGGGTGGGTCATCAGGCCACCTGGGCAGCCTTGGATTCTGGCCATACCCCCACGTCCAGCTGTTCCCCTACGCTGCTTCCCCAGTCTCTGCTCCAAACTTCTTTTTGTAGCCAGAAAGGTGGGGAAGGTGATGGCCCTGCAACCTTGGTCAACTTGCTGTTTTATAAGCCCCCTAGTAACCCCTCCCTTCCATCCACGGACCTTTGGGTATGGGTCCACCCCTCTGGGAAGCCCTTGTTCCTCCTGGGTAGTGGCGCCTGTCTTCTGCCACGGCAGCTCTCTGGAGACGGGAGTTGTGGCCCACACCCTGTGAACCAGCACTGTCCAGCCCAGGGCCTGGCCTGGAGCAGGAGTCCTGTCCTCCCAGGTGACTGTCCCAACGCCTGGTGCCAGGCAAGTCAGACCTGGCTCAGCTCCAAGATGCTGCACACAGATCCCAGGGACAAGGTCAACTGGGAGGAGCCCATGGGAGAGAGGGTGGGTTCCGCCATTGCTTCTGACTTCTCGCTAGAGGCACTCAGAGAAAGGCACTGCTCCCACTTTGCAAGTGATACAAGGTCCCGGGGACAAGGCAGCTCAGCCCCACCCTCAAGCTTCATGACTACAAGTCTCCCAGCCCCTGCCATTCTCAGAATGAGAAGAGTCTGGCCAAGCAGGCACCAAGGCCACTACGGGGAAGCGGCATGAGGACAGGGCCCTCGCGTGGGGAAGGCACGCATGTTTCTGTGTGGGAGGGCACTGAGAAGACACAAGCAGCTTCTGCCCGACACCCCCAACTTCGCCTCACCCCTGCAGATGACAAGAGCCTTGCATCTGGGATCTGGACTGCAGTCAGGCCTGCGAGGTGAATCACACTTTCACTGTCCTAGTCTCTGAGACCACCCCTGTGAGCCAGTGACCCCACTGTCACCTATGGTCACAGTGGCCTCGCAGTCCAGGGTGGTGGCACCTATCTTTTGCAGTGGCCTGCTCCAAGCCATGGGACAGATGCACACACAGAGGCAGCAGAGCAAGTGTTGGCCATGAGACAATGTTAACTTCGGCGCAAAGGGCCCCTGAGAATTTTCCCAGGCGTCTGACAATTGGGTGGGGCAGGGCCTGGTACACAGTAAGGCCCCAACATGCTGTAGCCTGGAGCAGGCCAGGAGCAGGAACCTGAAGGTGCTCAGGTGACAAGAAAGGGGCAGGTGGGAGGGAGCAGGGTATGTTCTGCACAACATGGCAGGGAACCTGGGATTTGCCCCTGGGCAAGTCTCTAAGAGGCTCCAAGCCTCAGTTTCCCTATCTGCAAATGCCACAATGCCATGGCTCACAGAGGCAGGACCCTGGTAAGGATCAGGAGGGACAGGAGAGGCTACACTCAGTGGGCATCAGTTGGAGTTTTCTAGGATGTTCACATGGTCTCAAAGTGTCCTCCCAGGAAAGATTTAATAATTACAGAAAGCAAAATATAATTTGATGGCAGAGAAACTTCTATAGTGAAGGCGCCTTAATCAAGCTACCAGAGTTTAATCACATTATCACCAGGAATAGGACAAACGGAGGCGATGTGCCTGCCTCCTGCCGTGTGAGCCAGAGAATTTGTGGCCTCATGTCTGTGGCACAGGGACATGGTCCCACAGGGACGGCCTTCTGCAAAACTGCTGGCTCCTCAGAATGTCAGTGTCATGGAAGACAAAGATAACCTAATAGGCCAAGGATGTTCTCGGTTAAAGGGGACTTAGGACAACTGACTGCAGTTCCTTACCTGAATTTTGAGCATAATTCATGAAATCTGAATGGCTGCATAGCGAGAGCAAGTCCCTGATGCTGTACTGGGCTACGGTTACATAAGAGGGTGTCCTCAGTTTAAGATCTGCACATGGAAGTGTGTAGCGCTAAGAGGATATCATATGTGCAACTTACTCTCAAGTGGGTCGGAAAAGCAGAGTGGTGGCAGGGAGACAGCTCAGTGGTCTAAAGCGCCTGCTTAGGCAAGCTCAGGGCCCACGGGTCTATGCCTAGCACCACATGCCACGCCAGTCCTGCCCCCCGGGCGGGCTGAGCCAGCCACCAAAAAAAAAAAAAAAAAAAAAAGAAAGAAAGAAAGAAAGAAAAAAGAAAAACAGAGTGGCAGCAAAGCCATACACCCATAGCCACAGGATAGATATACACACACAGGCAGCAGAGCAAGTGTGGGCCATGAGACGATGCTAACTTTGGGGCAAAGAGCCCCTGAGAATTTTTCCCAGGCTTCTGACAGACAACTGTTCTGCCCAATGCACTGAAGCCATAGGAGAGAGACAGGGACACCCTTATGGAGCAGGTCTCCCCAGGGCCTTACCGAGCCGCTGCTGGCTTTCCCGGCGTGTGCTTCCATCTGCTGCCAGTACTTCTTGGATTCCTGAACGATGTCTTCATGCGTCATACCTGGGGAGGGCAGAGCAAACACAGGTGTCCCTCAGGGGGCTTAGCAAGAAGCCATGCAGGGAATCTACAGTGTCCCGGTGGCACCTGAGGCCCCAGCACAGGGTGAGACTAAAGAGTGTATGAGGCCACTCACACTCAGGGGCTGCTTGTCCATCCCAACCCAGGGATGCAGGCCTGTTCCCTCTGTCCCTTGGGATCACTACACAGCATCCTGTCCAACCCAGCTCCGTCAGTGGGGCTCAGCCCTGTCCTTGCTTAGCAGCTGCCAGCCCACTGGTTTTTAAGGCTCCACGCCTGTGCTGGCCAGGGTCATCAGCTCACCACAGTACCACTGTTCCTAGCTGCTGGCCCTTGAAATACAAATGCTGCAGCCCTGTGGCCTGAACTCTCCCACCCAGATCCCACGCTGCCTGGGCCTGCACAGCGGCTCTTCATGAAGCCTGCGCCTGCCAGGCCCTCGCCCTTCCTAGCGCCTTCCACCATGTGCTGTTCTGTTACTCTTCAGTGCCGCCCACACCTACTCACACTCCTGACCATGACCTCCAGGTGTGCATCTGTGACCCAGCCCCGCCCCCAACATACTTCCAGCTCTCCATCCGGCCACCTGCACAACTCTACACCTGAAAATGACAGAGCCCGGACCCCCAGCCCCGCTCCTTCTGCAGATCCCCACCTCTCAGGCCATGGAACCTCATTCTTCTAGGTACTCTGACCTTGGGGTAGCCTTGTCACTGTCCTTTCTTTCATATGTCCCATCTGACTTATCAACAAATCCTTATTGCCTCCACCACGAAAACACATCAGAATCTGGGCACGCCTGCCACTTCCATGGCCTGAGCCACATTCTCTCTAGTGTCTCCACTTCAGTCCTTGTCCTTCTATTCCCTACCCAGTAACCAGAGTGACACTGATCAGACCCACAACTCCACCCACACTTAAAAACCTCTAAAGGGGGCCAGGGAGATGGCTCAGTAGAATAAGCACTTCCCTGGCAAGCGCAAGGGCCTGAGTTCAATCCCTGGTTCCACCAAAAAAAAAAAAAAAAAACAAAAAAAAACAACCCTCCAGAGAGCTCAGTATGGTGGTGTGGCTCACCTGGAATTCTAGTACTCTGGGAGGTGGAGGCAGGAGGAACCCAAATTCAAAGCCCAGCCTGGCAACTTAGCAAGACTTGGGCTGGGGATGTAGCTAGATGTGAAGGCTCTGGGTTCAATCCCCAGTATCAGAAAACCAAAACCAAAAAAAGAAAAATCTTTCAATGCCACATTTAGACAACTGCAGATAATGCACCAATGGAGACTGGGACTATCCACGGAGAAACATGTGGCTAGGGGCTTCATCTCTCTGCAAGCACCAGAGCGTGAGTACCGGGATGCAGACAGTGTAGGAAGTACCCTACAGCCTCCTGAGGCAATAAGAGCGAGCTGCAGGAGCTGCTGCCTCGGCCACAAGGCAGACTGTTTTAGTCAATTTAAAAAAAAAAAAAAAAAAAACATCAGGACTGGGCTGGGGAGATGGCTCAGTGGAATAAGTGCTTCCCTGGCAAGCGCAAGGACCTGAGTTCAATCCCCAGTTCAGCCAAAAAAAACCAAAAAACAAAAAAACACATCAGGGCTAACACTGGAGTAGCAATAAAGAGGTAGTATAGTAATATGCAAACCAGGAACATAGTAATATACTACCTTTATTGTCATTATCAAGTACTGAGTACTGTAAGCATGTGTGCCATCCTTTACGCCTGGCTGTGCAATAGGGCTGCTTACACCAGTGTCACCATAAATGTGGGACCATGTCATGACCATATGACATCACTAGGTTATTGCAACTTTTGAGTTTCAGTTTAATCTTTTTTTTTTTTTTTTCAGTTTAATCTTATAGGGCCAATGTCAGATATTCAGTCCATCGTTAACTAAAACATCACTGTGTGAATGTAACTCTTTTTTTTTGGTGTAAGAAATCATTTATTTATTTATTTGATACAGAGCCTTGCTACATAGTTCAGACTCATAGTGATCCTCCTGTCTCAACCTCCCCAGTGCTGGGATTACAGGAATGTGCTACCATACCTAGTTTCGGTGGCCAACACAGCTTGCCTAGGGCTCCAGGGGGACAGCACAGCATGTGGTACCAGGGATAGAACTTGGGTCCTCATACTTCCCAAGCAGGTGCTTAACCCATCAGGCTATCTCCCAGCCCTTCTTCTTTTTTTTTATTTATTTATTTATTTTTTTTTTTATGTGCAGGGTCTCACTACGCAGCTAGACTCATAGTGATCCTCCTAATTTTTGCCACCACACCTGGACTCCATCACTGACTCAGAGTGTCTGGGGGCGGGGCTGGCGCGGCATGTGATGCCAGGCATGTGGTGCCAGGGATCAAATGTTGGCCCTTGCGCTTACCGAAGCACTTGTTCACTGAACTATATCGCCAGCCCTTTTTTTCTTTTAATTATTTATTTTTTGGTACCAGAGATTGAACTCAGGACCTTGTGCTTGCCAGGCAGGCACTTAAGCCACTGAGCTATCCTCCTCGGCCCCCCTTTTTTTTTTTTTTTAAAAAAAAAAAAACCTTTTTATGTATTTATTTGCTTGGTACAGGGTCTCACTCTGCAACTTGGACTTATAGTGATCCTCCTGTCTGAGCCTCCTCAGTGCTGGGATTACAGGCATGTGCCACCATGCTGGGTTTCAGTGGCTGGCTTGGCACCAGGGGCCAGCACAGCATGTGGTACCAGGGATTGAACCCAGGCCCTTGCACTTGCCAGGGAGGTGCTTAGACCACTGAGCAATCTCCCAGCCCTTTATTATTATTTTTATTTTAAAGAAGGGTCGGGGCCGGGGAGATGGCTCAGTAGGATAAGCATTTGATTGGCAAACTCAAGGATCTGAGTTCAATCCCCGGTTCCACAAAAAAAAAAAAAAAAGGTCTACAGGGTGCTCAGGGTCTCACTACTAGATCAGACTCATAGTGATCTGCCTGTTTACAGCCTCCCAAGAGCTGGGATTATAGGTGCGCACCACTATGCCCAGTCTCAATTCCCATCTCAGTGTGCCCTGAGGGTGGGGCCGGCTTGGCAGGCCCAGAGATTGAATTGCTGACCCCTGTGCCTGCTTGCAGGTGCTTTAATCTGCTGAGCTATGTGGCTGGCCCTTTTTTTTTTTTTTTT